TAAATTTTTAATGTTTAATTTTATTTATCTAAATTCTAATGTTACAAATACAAAAGAATCAACAAAATCTAATGCTTGTAATGTTATCGTTTTATGATCGACATTTAAGTTTCATAAAATAGAAATTAAATTATGTTATTATATTATATTGTATATATAAATATATATATATATATATATATACACCTTAGTGTCAAGTTTTTTGCAATTGGCTTTATATATATATATATATATTACAAATTATATATATATATATAATATATTATTACAATATATATATATATATATATTGTATATATATATATATTATATATTATATATATATATATATATATATACAATATATATATATATATTATATGTATATATATATATATTACAAATTTCATAATTAGCCGTGAAATACTGACAGCAACACCAAAGTAATATACCAGAACAGCAACTACACGCATCTTAAAGTTGCAGAAGCAGTCCTAATTGACATCAATAAACCAAAAATAAATATACAACAAAAAATGACAACCTCACTTCCAACCCGGCGCTTAACCAACAACGAAAACAAAGAAGTAATAAAAACTAGCATGTAAATAGTGACAAAGAAGTGACAAAGAAGAATATGATGCTATCCATGAAGAAAAGGAGACCAAAGAAGATGACCAGCCAATTAAGAAAACTAATTCGCATCAAAGTTCAATTTTACAACACCAAAGTTAATTTTTACAACGTCAAAGTTCATCTTGACAAAGTCAATATTTCCCTATATATACAGCAGGGAGCACTGATGATTATTCATTCTGAATCGAAATATGGCCTTATTTGCAGCATGAATTCGAAAAATAAGTTTATTTTGAATTTTAATAAACTAAACGTTCACCAAAAAAAACTTTAGTGAGAAAAATCGAAAAAACGAACTACAAACATATTAACGCCAAACATTCGGTAGAATTTATAGAATATTATAAAAATTATGGTCTATTACCAACATATATATATATATATATATATATATATATATATATATATATATAATTTTATCAAAAATATATGGAGTAGAGAAATTTTATAACTATAAGTAGATATTGTCAAGTGTCATTGTGAAATTTACACTAAGTTTTTTTAAATGTTCTCAATTATTTACAATCACTTCAAATTCACATCATTTGAATTAGAATGGTCTAATTTTATTATTATATAACATTTATGAACTGTATCTGTTGTTCGTTGCTATTTTTTTTATACAGTTATACTTTTATTATTCTAAATTGATACACTTTTATTTTGTATTATTATTAATAATATTTTTGATGTTAAATATAACAACATTTATAAATTGTTGATCTTCAACTGAAGAATGTTGTTTGTAAACCATCAGATAACTTATCAGATGATCACCTGCTTAATTTCAAAGTCAGCTTTTGATGTGCATACAGGCAAGCATTTCATCTAATTCTAATAATCTATATGCTATCTGATAAACTTGTTGATATGTGATGAGAATTCTTGTGTATTGTTAATAGTATTTAAAAATACACCTTGAGTAGTCATTTGTATTCAATAGTACTCATTTTTGGCTTATTTTCCAGATAAAAGTTTTGGCTGTTATTGTGTGAAATTGTTTTTTTCCATTATTGTTATGACATTGTAGATTGGTTCAATAACTATAAAAAGGCAAATTTTCTGTTGATATAGCATTTCATTTTTTGTGTTGTAACATGATTGTTAAGTTTTTAATAATTGTTGTAGGGGTATGTTTGTAAGTTGTGAGTGATTTGATTAGTTTATAGACGTTTGTTTAATGCCATTGCCTGAACTGTGGGATGTTTCTCAGGCCAGTGAACAGTTTTGCATCATAATTTCTAAATAAATTTAAATTTAAATAAACTTCCTTTGATTAAGCTGCTAATTAGATCCTATAAAAATGTTTTATGTATCTGACCTTAAGTATAAATGTTTAAATTACAGATGAACTATTAACAAGCAGATGAGTATTTTTATATTTTGAAATTTAATTAACAGTTACATTTATTTTAACAAATACAAAGTATAAATTCTAATCTTATAATAACATTTTATTTCATTTAGATATGGGCATATTTTTTTCGCCCCATCATTTTTTTATGTTTATGTTGTATGTTTAATATGTATTTATACAAATGTAATGTTAGTTCATTTTGTTGAGTTTTTCCTACCAAACTGGAGTTTTAGAAATTCATGATTTTCCTATCCTGACCTTCAACTGTTGAAAGTTAAAATGTGATCACTAACTAACTGGTTTATAAATTAGCACACGCAGCCTTAACGTTACCGTATATTATTTATAAATTTTTCTTTTATCTTTCTTGGAAAGTCCTCACCACACTGATTACTAACTCAATTTAAAGCCTGTTTCAACAGGTTTTTGAGTCAAGCAGTTGCTTGAGCCTGCAAACACTCACACAGAGACACACACTCACACAGAGACACACACTCACACAGAAATATATAAATGTAAGTTAATAAATAGAAGTCCTTGATGATAGAATGAGTTGATGGCAGACATAGATATGGATGAAATGATATGGGTTGTGTTTCATTCTGGATAGTTGGTGCCTAATGTAGTTGATGTGGGTACAACAATTGTAGAGGATTGTAGATTTTAATGTACTGGTGTGCTGTTAACTTTAAATTATATAATTTGTGTGTCTATATGTAATATGTATAATTTAATATATGCATGATAATTAGAGAATGGTATGAGTGGTGTGTTTTGTTGTGATGTTCATCATGTTTCAAGGAGATCTAAAGACAGGTTTCACTTGACTTTTGACTGCTCTATCATTAAAAACTCTCTTAAGAGATATGGTGCAGTTAAATTTACTGTTAGTTCTTCATTCTTTCATTAGAATTTTAATATATTTGTATGGCAAAACATTTGTTTGTTTGGAAGATTTTCTGTGCATTATTATTTTAGTTGGTTGTTTGGTTAGATTAATTAATAAATTATTTATTTATTTATTAATTAATATTTAATGAATTAAGTGGCACTTTGATTATTATTGGTTTTCCATTGTTTGCTAAATGTGAATAAAGGACTTACATGGGTATTGATGTTGTTAGATGATCACTATTTTATTTCATGCATGCATTCATCTTGTACTTGTGTTGTATTGTAATGGAAGCAGGCACGTCTGCCTACCTGAAATATGGAAATTGTTTGTTTGGTTCTAAAGTGAATGCCTCTTCTCCATAATTATTCCTATCATGGTTTCAATGTAAGCTTGGGTTGTGTGTGTGCGCGCGCATGTTTATATGTTTGTGTATATGTTTATGCCTGTACTATATATACTTAGGTATGTAGAATTGTGGATATGATTTGTTTTCCTTTGGATGGGATGTATTAATTCATATGTTTTCATACCAACAATACATCATCAAAAGGAGGAGTTTATTTTTGCGTTTTCTGTTGTTTTGATTTGATCCAAAAAATGGATACTTGGCATTCAGTGTTATGTAGTGTTGTCGTTGTGCAGGATGTTGTTCTGTGATCAGGAAGTGGTGCATTCTATTGCTATTGATTTATTGCTCTTTTGTTGACTGTAGCTATTGCATAATTCAATAGTTTATTTATAGTTGCAAATAACAATGAATTTATTAAATTAAAAATGGATAATAAGAATATAATTGGATGATAATTTTTTTTCACGAAGTTGTAAAATTGAGGTGATTATACCATCTATGAGTGGTATAACAATGAAAAGTTATGAAATTTTCGTTGAAAACAGTCAAAATATCAAACATAGATGTTGCTCATTTTATTGTCCTTCATGACCCATCAGCTCATCTTACAGGTTTCTTTCTTTTATTTTTTTTTTCAAGTTTTCAAATGTTTCTAATGTTGAATTTCTCTCTATATTATTCTAAAGATTATGTTGTGAGCATGGATTGCGCATTGGCAACCCTATGTATTGTTTGTTGTTGCACTTTAATGTTTTTGTAATAAATGTAATGTTACAGTTGTTTTATTTTAAGTATTTTGCTTTGTTATGTAACGGATGAGTTGTGCAACTTTCAAATGGTTCATTCATGTTTTATTTTATCTTTAATTTTCATAAAGTGGTCCACAAATGTTTTCAAAATCATTATTTTATTTCATTGATATTATTGTTTTTTATATCAACTGGTATGACATAGTTGTCTGGCTGGTAATGTTAATGATGGTTGGTTCAATTCCTATTGTACCCCCATTGTAGGTTTATTATACATTCATTATAGATTCATACCTGGTAAGGACTTTGAGTGCTTTGTATCTTTTGTAAACTTGGAACTGGCATGCAAGTTCCAAGTTCATTTAAGCTGGATTTAACTTAACAATTTGAAATATACACACACACTCAATGTTGAAATAACTTTGAAATGTATTTTGGCTGGTGCTACATAATCAGAATAGGTTAATTTAATATGAAAAGATGTGAATTAATTTGATTAAGTTTTATTTCACCAATGAAGGTGTTATTTATTCTTGTTGGTGTATTTAATAAATAAATAGTATATTAATAAAATAAATGTAAGAGGAATTTTTTTAATATTTTAAGCTCCTATCCTTCAGTATTTTTCCATATTAAGCATTTATTTTGAAGCATTTTTTATGATGCTTCTTATCAGGTAATTTTCATCTATTTTTGTAAGATACTGCAACAACTGTGATGATGGTGGCGATGATGATTTGTTATGAATGATTATGATGGAGATGATGATCAGGATGATGGTGACGACGATGATGATGATGATCATCATTATATGTTTATAGTTTAATGATTATACCCAATTTTAATGTTTCTAAACTTTTATTTCGGGAATTCAATTTATAAATAATATGATATATATATATATATTATCAAAAAATTATATATATATATATATATATATATATATAGATATTATATATGTATATATATATATATAGAATGAGATACCTAAACGTGTTGGTCATCAAAAATGAATAAATGACTACCCCTTTCTAAATGCTAACAGTACGTGCAACTGGTCTGCTATGTTTGTTGGGTGTCGGCCTTGGCCTAGGTACATTCCTCCTCTACAAACTCTACACACGCCTCTACTTGAAATTCTCTTCCGCTGTCGATCACAGCTTCAATGCATCTGCCAAAACTGCTGGCGAAACTAAAGTTTTAAATGCTGAGGTTTGTCTTATTGTTTGTTTGTTTTTAATATGTATGATTATTAAAACCAACTACTTCATCCAAATATCAATATACATAACGATGTTTAAAAAAATGAAGTATACAAGAATGGCTGACAAATGGGTCGCCTTATAAAATCAACCAGTATAAATTTTCTAACAAAATTTTGCATTAAACCAAAACAGACTCCAGATTCTGGAATTTCGTCGGACATCCAGCAGCCACAACAACAACAACAACGGCACCAGCTAACGCGACGACGACGACAACAGCAGCAAGATCAACAAGATGCAGACGACAACAACTCTACTAATGTTCCTCAGCAGTGGCGGAAGAGAATTATTGATTGGCTTGCCAAATCTTCATTTTCGTTGGAGGATACTGAAGTGGATGCCTTCTTGCACGGCGATGAAGATGGTCAGGAAGAAGCTGGTGACGACGACGATGATGCTAACAGGAATAGGAGGAGGTTTCAAATTTTTTCACATTTTTCACCCTTTCAATTTTCATTTTATACAGAAATAATTTTCAAGTTGAGGTTTTTTTTAAATTTAAGACCTGTGTTATGAAATTTAAAACTTCATTCACTACTCAATCAACTAATAAGTTGATATTACTTCGATATAACTTCCATAAAAGATGTCGAAGTGGAAACAAAGGTGCCAGCAGACAGCACCACCAACAGCAGCAGCACGACCCAATGGTGACCTCGTATGCATCTGCTTGGAGCAGCGGTTTCATTTCTAACGGGGAAAACAATGGTCCGGAGAACAATCTCTACATCAGCGATGATATCGACAATCAGGACGCGATAGTCGGTGGCTATCACGATGACGATATGATGATGGATGGAATTGATGAAGTGAGTGAAAATGACGACGATATTGCTCACCATGCTAAGCATGGTTGTCATCACCACTCACCAACATCTGAAGGTAATAATCATTGTCATCACCAACAACATCGTCATCGCCACAACTCCGGCTTGCAGCATCATCATCATCAGAGGAAGCAGAGTATTGGTCAGTCATTCCATTAATCAATTAATTATTTCAATTTTATAACAACTTTTTATTTGAAAGTTACCTGGAAACACCATTCACTTAATAAGTTACGTGCAAAAATCAACAAAACTCACGACAACAATAACAACAACAATAACAACAAAAGGAAACAGACGACAGCGACCTCTTTCCAGCAGAACAACTTCATCTAAGTCGAGTGACCTAGCAGATGGGGAAGGTTGGGTCGGTGGTGGTCGAAGGGTGCTCAGAAGGAACTGCTACAGTTTCACATCTCACAAAGTTTGTGCATCAAGTTTTACTTTGCAAATGACACACACACAAACACACCACCACATCTTTTTTACCAAACACAGATGAAAGATTAATTTGCAGAATCACAAACACTCACACGCGCACATCACTTTCACACACAGACAAATACACACACACGCACCACACAGGTACATACATAAACATACACTCCAAACACACACTCCATAATTAACTAACCACCCACCCACGACCATGCAGTCTGGCGACTCATCCTTGTACGAGTATCGTGAATCACTGGTGAGCAAGGGCTACAGCGTCGACCTCGGTGAGAACCTGGATGACGTGGTGCTGCCAGATGACCAGGTCAACATGATGATGGATGATGCAGGGAGTCAACAGGATGAGTTGTGCGATGCAAGAGGTCTCGTGAAGCACGGAGCAGTCGACCACATGGACCAGCTGCAGTACGAGTTGATGAAAATTCGTATGGACATCGATTGCATGAACGAAAAGTTTGATCATCTCTACCAAGGAACTGAGGTGAGGCTGTACATTAATGGTTATGATTATAATTTGAATGATGCACTTGAAGATGGTGATTATGGTTTGATACGGTAATATGGTGGTGGTGTGACTATTTTAATTATTTCTATAGCCAATGAAGGCATTTGTGGAAATTTTATCATAGTGTAAATGTTGACGATTTCCGTACTGATCAGTTGTAAGTAAGAAAAAAAATATATATAATAACAGTTCACCATTTAAAAACAACTTAATTATTGAATCAGAGATGAGTTTGTTTGCTTGCTTCCTGTAAGCGTGATTAGTTCTTTTTAAATTGAACATTAGCCTCTTTCCCTGTCTGTTTGATTTGTTTGATGGTTGGTTGCCATGTAAATCTTGAGAACAATGTTTTATTAACATAACATCTGGCCTTGTTTAATATGTTTTTCATTATTCTAGTCTGGTTTTACTTGTCTTCATCTGCTCTCTTATTGCTTTCTGCTGTTTGTGTTCCCTCATAAATATTATCACTTGTGAAACTGCAAACATGTCATTACAATTTTGATAAAGTAATAATATTGATTGATGATAATTACAGGAAATTATACCAATTATGAATGACTAAGGTGGCACGTGTGATTTTATAACGTTTACAAAAATAATTTCACTCACGCACATATAACCTACATTTTTCTGGTGCTGTATCTGTGGTATATATCAGACTCGAGATAAATGTTCATTCTTTCTTAGGTCAACTGATAAACTGTCAGCATCAAATTATAATATATATATATATATAGGATATAATAGCACCTAGTATAATATAATAAATATAATAATAACATATACGATGAAATCATACCTTAAATTTAGTAAATTTAAATTCAAATTTTAATTTTAAAATAGGGACTTCAATTTAGTATATGAAGTCATTTTTTAACTTGGTTCATGTTAACATCAGTCATATCATTTATTCATTCATTTATTCATTGAGTTATTTACTTCGGTCATTTGTCTCTCTCTCTCTCTCTCTCTCTCTCTCTCTATATATATATATATATATATATATATATATATATATATATATATTCAGTCATTCATCTTTCCATCTATTGTTATTTATTTCACCACAGTAAACCCTCACCACGTTGTGTATAATAGACCCTCCAAGGATATGTTAAAAAATAATTTGACTCATCAACCGAATCATATGAATAATTCCTCATCGTCATCCTCTTCCTTCTCCTCATCATCATCCTCCTCTTCCTCCTCCTCTTCTTCATCATCCTCCTCATCATTTTTACCATTTGTACTGCCTTCTGCACCTCACTATAGTCAGTTATCAGCAAGATTCTCATTGATAGTTCAGCAGCAATGGGCCGGTGCATTGATATTTATGTACTAGAACATTGGAAGCATACAATTTTACAGGTGTACGTATTGTGTGTGTGTGTGTGTGTGTGTGTGTGTGTGTGTGAGAGAGAGAGAGAGATAATGAGAGAGAGAGAGATAATGAGAGAGAGAGAGAGAGAGAGAGAGAGAGAGAGAGAGAGAGAGAGAGAAGATAATCCACGTTATATCCTGCTTGGAAGTTAGTCATCTTAGTAAATTGAATCAGCAGTTTACATCAGCAAGAAAACGTTTATAGGAATTGTTACATGATTAGTAATCTAGGCTCATTACATTAATCATAATGGTGATGAAAAGGAGAACGATGATGGATGACGACGATGATGATGATGGTGGTAGATGATGGTGATTATAATGATGAAGGTGAAGATATTTATGACAGAGGATGAATTTACTGCCAGTTGTTAGTGGCAATTAGGACTGATCATGTTTCCAAATCTAATTATCTTTCATTCTCATGAATAATTAATTGTTTCTAATTATTTCTAGCTCTTGCATTTATATTTTTCATTAGTATTTCTTCGTTGTGGCTCTCTTTATGAAGAACCGTATGTTGCTCTTTTAAAGCTGAAAGCATTTAGTGATGAAAAAAAGTAGCTGGTTGGTTATGTGTACTGAAAGTGCGTCATTAGCATTAGAAATCATTTTGCATCGTACACATTTTTGCCAAGCTTGATCGGCTTCTACAGTGGCAAACATATCTGCGCTCATTTACATTTGCAATTATCATACGTAGTGTTTGCTTAATTGTCGAAGCTACACTCACTTGCATGTTTTCAGTTTTGTTGCTTTAGTCGGTAGAACAATTTAGAGTATTTTTTTTAAATTCATTAAACTATTAAACCCATGTTATGGAAGATGAACATTGGATGTTATATAATGCTGTATCATCTCCGGATCCAGTCTGAACATGTCTGCATACGTAGAATATTTCGTTCAAACAAATTTATCATTTAAAAAAATTCTCTTCATAACTATTTAAAATGTATGATGTTCAAATATTTAATGTTTGCGTCGTTGATTTGCTAGTGCGACAATTTTTTGATTAGGTTTGATTCATTTTGTTGTTCTACGATCTCTTTAATAGCTCTGTGGAGACACTGATGAGCAGGCTCTTTCATTGAAATTTACTAACGCATCGATTTGTTGACTTAGCAATAATTCGCCAAAAATGTACGTTCATAGAAGCATATTTGAGATAGAAGATATAAACAGCCATTTGCTTAATTTTTTGTATCCAAGTTGTTTTTTAGAGATCAGTTTTTAATGTGATCTGGCGACAATGGTTTTGAGAAAGCGTGCACTGTACGGTGTGGATAACTTGAACGCACACTTGGGTTGAGCTCTGAGCAGTAAGTCCGAGCACGTCAGCCTATTAAAAGTTTGACCAACTCTTAAGTTGGAGTATGAAGAATGACTTGGTAATAATCAGCCGAGAGAAATGCACTTGCAGCTTTATCTGGATCAGCAAACAAACATCAATGTACAATATTTAACATTATTTCACAGTGCGTGGATGGCTGGCTGCCAGAAATAAATCATGTTTATTCAGGTTGTCCTGAGGACTGTTTTGATATGTAAATAAATTATATATAAATAAATGTTGTGCAGCGAATGAATAAATGACATCTATCTTGTATATAGTGTGTTTGTTGTGGTATGAAAGTTACTATTCACAACTTGTTTTTTCAGCATGCTTGTTCATGCAAAAACAATTCCGATCATTACAAACTGTCATTATGAATCACATCTCAAACAGATTTCTTTTATTAATTACGCTATCTAAGTTTTAGAGATCAATATTTCAATCAATGTATATAATAAAATTATATATATATATATATATATATATATATATGTGTGTGTGTGTGTGTGTGTGTGTGTGTTATATATATGTATATATACATATATATATATATGTATATATATATATATATACACGCACACATTTATATATAGCTTTAATATTTGTTTTTCTAGTTTTTATTATCGTTAGAATGTTAGAGCTAGCATGAGATGTTTTCATAAATGAGGGTATACACATTCAAATAGATGAATATGAATACAAATTTATACATTATAGATATCCATACATAAATGTATAAGAGATACACTCATAACCAGCATATTCATACCTTCTTGTATAAACATTTTGTATGCACTGATGTATACAGGCACAAAACACTGATGCTATCAAGTTAGTTACATGTTCTGCTCTTCCAATCGCTTGCTCTCTGTTACTGATTCTTTGTTTTAAAAATAAGATTCTTTGCGGAGAGCTATCAGTCTATCTTTTTTTTTATTTTGTCTATTCTTCATCTAGATTGCATCAGCGCTTGCGTGTATGCTAAGGTCATATAGATAGTTAGTTTAGTTTCATTTAATAATAATTGTAACCAAAATAATTATTGTTTATTACGTTTTTGTAATTATTTCAGTTATTTCAATTTTTAAAAGTTGATTGAGCTTTCTAGAGAGTTAAATATTTTGGAATAAAGATACCAATCTACGTTAAGTTAAATAACATAATAACATCTACTTTAAAAAAAAACATCTGTGTCTCTATATTCCATACATCATCCCAATTCCTTCTCTCATCATCTTCATAATACAACATATTATTGCATCTGGAATGCCGCTGGGATGTTTGGCAGTTAGTTGAATACGTGTATTTTGTGTAATTTTAATAATTATTTAGCTAATTGCTGTTTAGTAATTGTTGATAAGTTGGAATTAGTTAGAAATAATATTTTTTGAAAGAAATTAAAACGTTAGAACCAAAAAAATGTTTTTTATAGGATCCTTCGAATAATGATATTTAATCTATGTGGATTGTTTAAATTTTTCAATTATATTTCTTTCTAATAAAATTTCAGGAACAGTTTATAACATTCAACATCAGCAGCTGCAGTCCGTTGCATCTTTCCCATCATCTCCATCATCACCACTTGGGAGATAGCCCATCACAGGACAGCATCACAAACATCATCTCGCCGACATATTCAACTAGCTACAATTACATTAACGATCGCAAGCCTCAGTTTTCTGGGGGCAGTTCCAACACCGCTACACAGATGGTGTAAAGAATGAGAGGATATATCATAATGATGAGGATGATGACCGAGACGATGAATCTCGAGAAAATATTCCGGAAGTTGGAAGCGATAAGGACATCGAGACATTTGATATGCAGTGGGACTACCACTCGGATCTCGCTGCCGTCAACTCGCCTGCTTTCATTTCCAACAGACCTCTCGTTGATAGCAAAGACAGCAAAACCAATGATAGTTCAAGTTTTGAGAGAACCCCTCCACCGCGCACCAGGAAGGAGAGCTTGGTCCTTTTTTACCTGGATGACGACTTCAATGATGGCTTCATTGCCGATGAGGATGAGTTCTTTATCGCTCCATCACTGATCGACAGGAAAGATGTCGGCAGTAAATACTACAACATGCATGTAAGCTATCCATCAGGCCATTCTACTCCTCGCAAACTCAATAAAAAGAAAGCGCTTGCTGCTTCAAGTGCCAACAAATCAACTGCCTTGATGGCATCTAAGCATTTAAATGCATCCCTACAACTTGAATCTGATTTCAAAAAGTGCATAGCCAGATTGCTTCATCCATCCTCAGCTGACTCAAAAGCTTCGGCAACATCTACAAAAAATTCTCCCAGGCGACTGAAAAATCTTCAAAATTTTAAAAATACTGAAAAATTCAATAACCACAACGAGTGCAACAAAAACAATGTCGAGAAAAATAACACTAACAACAGTAACAAGATATTTGGGGATGATGCTCCTCGTGTGTTAGGTGAAGTTAGGAAGCTTTTTGAACACCTCGAAGTTGACCTTAATATCAACTTGACCCAGTTATCCAGCATCAGAAAGGTAACCTCTTCCTATAAGATTAAAACAATTCAATTCACTTTTAAATGCAAATGTTGGAATTTCTAATTTAATTTTCATTACATGCACGTGTGAATGAACAGGCGTACAGCAAGATATTTGAAATTTGTGGTGCCATAGAGGTACGTGCGTTTCACTCTTACACGTACTCCATCCTGGCTCCCATCACCTACCAACTCCTCATCAACAACTGCCTCAATCTCGACAACATCGGTGGAACATTCCAGAATGTTGTGCAGGTTCATTATGTTGACAGACATACTTTTTATGTTATTTACATTTTTTTGGAAAAATTTCTTAGCTGAATGAATTTCATTTTCTCATTTGCTTGTTTATTTAGAGTGCTTAATTTTTTTTCTCTACGTTATAAATAAGGCTTGCAAAGTTAGTTGATAGCAACGTTTCTTTTTTTCCATTTATTTTCAATCAATTAAATTTATCCACCGAATATTCCACGAGCACAGCACCTCGTAGCAGCTGTCGACAATATGCACAGTTATCTCATGAACTGGAAGTACAAAGGTTCCACAAGGGTTCCAAAGAATGAGGTCTTGTTCAAACTCATCAACAGTCTCAAAATTTCTTGTGAACAGGTTATTTGTGTTTTAGAGATAGCTGCCATGTTTTTCAAATATTTTGTCGTATTTTTAGGATATTCTGATGATTAAGTTTGTTAATATTATTTGCAACAACCGACATGCAAGACAGAAGTTGAAAATTCGGTTAACATGATGGTTAACATTGAAAGCTTCGTCATAAACAATTATTTGTTTTGTATAAGATGACGGCAATATCGAGCATGACGTCACTGAAGTGCCGTCAGCAGTATGTCACCTCCCTGATGAACCATGGTGTGGACATGGAGTGCCATCTCGTTGAGGCCATGAAGATCATCATCTGCTTGAATGCCATCAACTTTTTCAAGACCCACACCACTTCTAACAGCAACGACACTAAAGACATTAACAGCAACGATGACGTCATATTTTCTGATGTACTCAACAACAATTACAACAACAACAACACAAGTATTGAAAACCATAAGAGCAATAACAACAACAACACAAGAGATAAATATAACGCTATTCTAATGAACATCGTCAGAAAAAATGCGCAGTTCAACAGTGCTGAAGAGATCTTCAACATGATGAACTGTATAGATCACGATGAATGTCCTATTGATGATGTAAGCACTGACTGTCGCTATCACGTTGTTGTCTTTGTTGAGATGTTTGTTGTCGTTGTCGTTGTTGTCATATTTTGCTGTCGTGCGTTATTGTCATACTTTTGTTGAAGACACTGATTTTGTTGTGTTTTTCATGTAGTTTTGTTGTTGCCAGCTTTTGTGGATTCTGTCATAAGAAATGGTCATGATGTTGTTGTTGGTGCTGCTCAGCTCATCTCTAAGAGATGTAATAAGAAGAAATGATAACAAAATTAAATTGAACTTTTGAACAAATGGTCAATTAACAGATTGGTCTTTCAGTCATATGCTGCTTATTAAATGCCGACCTGCGAGTCATCAGACCCCACAAGTACAGCAACAACAACCAGGACGACGACAACGATGCTGCTGATTGTGATGATAATGAAGCTTTCCTCTGTTTCTATCCTAATCACGTTCTGATGATGAGTAACATTACACCGCCATCATCATCGCCATCGTCGTCACCATCATCACCAAAGTCACCATCAAAAGTGATAACGATCATTGAAGATAAGCCTGGCCAACTCTATTGTCTACCTGTTGATTCCGAGGAGTAATGATGGCGATGATGACCATGATGATGATGATGATGATGATGTTATTAGTAATGATGCTGATATCAAATACCGTTATATCATCATGCCCTTACAACTGGGGTGATTATTATGATGTATGTATGTATGTTAATGACAGCCAGCCAGATGAAGTATTATTTAACAAATTCGTTTTAACTGGTCGTTTCTTTTGTTTGTGTGTTTGTTTATAGGTTCGTTTGTTTGTGTGTGTGTGTTTGTACGTTTGTTTGTTTGTGTGTTTGCTTGGTTAGTTGGTTGAGTGTGTGTCATCAATTATTCACTTGTTTGTTATATTTCTTTTTCACTTTCTGTCTCAACAGAAATCATTTCACGCGTAGTTTATTTAATTATTTATTTATTATTTTTGAAGTTTCTTTTTAAATATTAATCTAGCTTCGTGTATATGTAGCTTTATTATTTCGCCATTATAATTATAATTAATTAATTAATTATTGATAAACTTTTTTACGATTTTAATTTATTTTTATTCATGAATTATTATTATTACCTTGCAATTGAACTTCTGTCGGAAGGAAGGACGCGTTTTGTTTTCGTGTTTTAAAAATTTGAAATCGAGATATAAAAATTGTGATTGATCTATAGGGATCCTCTGTTATGGTTTTTAATTTTTTATCAGTAAATATTTTATTTCTTTTTTTTACCAGTGAATATTTTTTTTGTAATTTTTTTTAAATTAACAAATGTAAATTGGTGTAATTACTATTACTTTGAGCTGCTTCTAAAATGAACTGTAGACAAGCAAAAGTCTTACCAGGTTTTTATTAATTTGTTTATTTCTATAATCATTATTATTATTATGGATTTTTGATTATTTTCCAAGTTTTAAACTAGATTAAATTAGATTTTCTCACTAAATTTTATCTTATTTTTTAATAAACATTGAATTGCACTTAGGATTTTCTCCATTCATTTTTTGTTTCTTTAAATTTGTGCACTAACAACGCTGTCAAATCGATGAGTATTTCTTATTGAAGTTTAGTCATTTCATTTCCTAGTAGGCATGTTGCATGTTCAACATTCACGTTACATACACGCACGTTAAAACACGGTATACAATTTTTATTCGTAATTTTTTTCATTTTATTTATTTTTTTATTTATCTCAGCACTGGTTGGTATCTTTTTTTAGCTTTATTATTCAGAATTGTATTATAATTTATATTTTTTACAGTACGCGAGCAATGTATTTATATCATGCACTCATTTTGTATAATTAGATTTAATTTGTATATGGCTGATTGAGTAGCTATATTATTTTAATGATTTAGGTTGGCAGTTATATAATAATAATAATATGATGATCAAGTAACCATAATAATTTATGCAGTAACTAATTGTTATGCTAATGTCTAGACGAAATTATGTTAATGTAGTTGGCTGATGTTAATAGTAGCCGTCTGCTTCATGGATGTATCTCATGTAGGAAAAGTTTTTGTTGTTTTATCTTTCGAGCGGATGAATCTTTTGTACTTTTTTAATGGAAGTTTTTCGTTATTTCATTTCAATTTTTTACAATTAGTATAATTAATTGTATTTGATTTTTAACTATTTTATTTCGTTACTAATGAAATTTTTATTCAATAATATTAATCTATTAGCGACGACCATCACCATCGTCGTCGTCGTCATCAATCAAAATAGATTAGTAATAAGAATCATGCGTGATATTGTTCAACAATCAATCAATCAACCAATCAATAAGTCAATCAATCTACTAATCAATCAATCAACTAATCAACCAACCAATCATGCAACTTTAATTAATCATTATCAATCAATCAATCATGGCTTGTTATTGGAATGTTATTGGAGTTGCGGACTAGGTAGAGTTACAAATGCCTTCATAGCTAGCAATCATTTATTTCAAACTTTCGACTGTTTCTCTTGAAATTAATGCTTCCGCATGAATGGTTACTAACACTCCTAGTTACGCGCGTCGTGATCAGTTGAGTAATTGATTGATTGATTAGTCGATTGATTAGTTGATTGATTAGTTGATTGATGGATTGTATAGCTTGATAGACCGATTATTTAATTGGATGACGTTTAATGTTGGCGCAATATTTTTGTTAGCGTTTTTAGTTAATAAATTCCCTTGTTCATCATGTTTTTATTGGCTGGTTAGGTTAGAGTTTGATTGGTTTTTTGTTGGTTGTGGTTGGATTGGTTAGTTTGTGTTGCCTGCTCAAGAGATGATCGATGATG